CCTCGGGCGCGAATCCTCCACCTCCCGGTCACGGCTGCAACCTTCCTTCTGTTCAGAAGGCGGCAGGCAAGTGCAAAACCAAAACCAAGCACACGGTCAAGAAGTCCTCCAAGTTGGCGGAAAGGCAAGCCAGCCGTAGGCACCAGGTCCTGGAGAAGGAGTTCTCCAGGGCACAGAGGCAAGCCCAAATGGATTTGGAAGGCATGGCGGCCACCGAGATGGAGCTACCATTGGGTCCATCGACGTCAAGTCAGGGGGTATGGTCCATTCCGGGTATGCCGGTAACGTCACCTCTACCCTCCGCCTCAGTCAAGCCGCCATTTTGGGCGCCCTCCCTGAGTCCGTCGGCTCTCCAACGCCCATTTTGCCCAGAGGTCCTGACATAGGGGACATTTTTTCGGACGGGCGTCTGGAGGCTTTACTAGCCAAGGTGGTGGACAGAGCCCTGACACAGCGTTCACGTCCACACAATTTGGAAGCCAATGACTGGTCCGCTCAATCAATAGATCCCCCCATGGAGGGCCCGGCGGCTGGGGGGCCTGATTCTCCGGCCCAGTCCTCTGGCAGTGGTTACTCATCAACTCATGAGGATGAACCACCCGAGATCACCTTTTCAGAGGACGAGGAGCTCCCACCTGAGACATCTTCTTCGGGGGGATTATTCAATCCCAACCATTTTCTCACTATTTTGCGTAAGGCCACGGCCACGGCGAACATAGGGACTGACCAGTTTCCACAATCTCAAACTGATCCCACATCCACGCCCAGGCCAATTTTTTCCCACAAAGCGGCGACGGAACACCATGTCCCGTGTCCCTCAATTTTTCTGGAAGGGATTCAGAAGCAATGGGCTTCTCCTTCCTCCTTCCCCTCTGCGAGCACTTCCGATAAACGGTTGTACAAGACGTCTACGGATCTGTCCGACGCACTGGACATTCCCAAGGTGGATGAGGCCTGGACCCCCTTAGTTTCCCAGACGGCTGTGGCGGGGGATCTCTTAGAGGCACTCAAAGCCGATGATAAAAGGTGGGAGCAGACATTCCGCAAGACTCATCAGTCGGCGGCATGGGCCATCAAAACCGCAACCTCGGCATCCTTTTTTGTGCGGACCACCCTTCTGTGGCTTCAACAACTACAGGCCAGGGTTCCTGTTGAAGATATGAGAACTAACCAGGACCTGGCCAAGATGGTTGCTGCTACTGAATACGCGGCGGATGCCACGCTACAGTCGGCAGTATTTTCTGCCAGAACCATAGCTTCCAACATGATTGCCAGAAGGATGCTATGGTTAAAACATTGGCAAGCCGACAACAAGGCCAAGTGGCGTTTAGCGACCGCCCCGTACTTGGGTGGCAACCTGTTTGGGGATGCCCTCGCCCCTTATCTTGTAGAAAATAAAGATAAGCGGAAAGTGATGGCTCACCTAAATAAAAGGTCTGACAGAAAATCCACACCCTTCTTCCGTAGGCAACCCTTTCGTCAGCAGGCGGCACCTGCCGCCCAATTCACCAGACCGTTCGTCCAGAGGCCGGCTAGGCCATATGACCGCCCATACGATAGGCAGGGCTCCCGCCCCAGGCAGCAATACCAGTCTAAACGGCCATTTCGTGGGGCTGGCCGGCCCTACCGCAAGGCCAAATGACTTCTTACAAGCTCTTCCCATTGGAGGAAGACTAACACACTTCTTCCATCAATGGGAACAGACCTCCACGGACGCCTGGATTCTGCAAACCATCCAGCACGGATTGTCCCTGGAATTTCTAACCACACCCCCGGACCACTTCACCGCCTGTTCGGTATCCAAGGACCCCTCCAAGCGCAGACTAATGCAGGAGGCCATCCTTCACCTAACGGAGATTCACGCCATAGAACCGGTTCCGTCGGAATACAGGGGCAAGGGGTTCTACTCCATCCTCTTTGTGGTTCCCAAAACCTCGGGAGGCTGGAGGGCTATCCTCGACCTAAAAAATCTGAACCATTATGTAATCTACAAGAAATTCAAAATGCAGTCCCTCCAGTCCATCCTGGGGGGCATCAGACAGGGCGACTTCCTGGCATCGATAGACCTTACGGAAGCGTACCTGCACATCCCAATCCTATTGGCTCACCGTCGATTCCTACGCTTCTGCTACATGGGCAAGCACTACCAGTACAGGGCTCTCCCGTTTGGCCTCTCGTCAGCACCCAGGGTGTTCACGAAGGTACTGGCAGTGGTAGCGGCTCACCTAAGAAAAGTTCCAGTAAGAGTCCAATGTTACCTGGACGACATCCTCATTCAGGCAACGTCGTTCCAGGCAGCCCAGGCAGACGTGCACACCACCATTTGCACCCTTCAAGAACATGGTTTCTCGATAAACCTCGAAAAAAGCCACACAGTTCCCTCGTCCAGGCTGCAGCACCTGGGAGCCATTATCGACACATCAGATTGCATGGTCTATCTATCCCAGGAGCGCACGGTCAGCTTAATGGAACTGGCTCGACAGGTATTCCGACGGCGCACGGTTCCTCTGGTAACACTTTCCCAGTTGTTAGGCAAGATGGTCTCCTGCATAGCCATCGTTCCCTGGGCCAAACTACACCTACGGGACCTACAGTGGTTTCTCCTCCCCTTCCAACGTCGAAATGCCAGCGCTTCCTGTCGACTGGTCAGGGTCCCGTTAACCGTTCGCAGGGCTCTCCGCTGGTGGTGCTCTCGAGCAGTGACCAAGGGGTCGCTCTTCAAAGAACCGGAACGAGTCACCATCATGACGGATGCCAGTCTCTACGGCTGGGGCGCTCACCTGAACTCTCAGTTAGCTCAGGGACGGTGGTCCACCGTGGATCTGCAGAAAAGCATCAACTGGTTGGAACTCAGAGCGATACATCTAGCTCTGCTACATTTCAAACGCTCGATCAAGGGCCGTCACGTTCTAGTCCGCACGGACAACGTAGCGGCCAAGGCGCATGTCAACCGTCAGGGAGGCACACGGTCCAGGTCCCTGATGATGGAGGCGAGAAGGATGTTCACCTGGGTGGAACCCAACTTGGGATCACTCAGGGCAGAACACATATCGGGGGTCGACAACAGACAGGCGGACTTTTTGAGTCGTGCCACGGTGGACCCTTCGGAGTGGGGGCTACACCCGAACCTGTTCTCATCCATCACCCACAGGTTCGGCCAACCAATCCTCGATCTGTTCGCCTCGCAGGACAATGCCCAGCTTCCCAGATTTTACTCCCGCTATTTCCACCCCAGGGCAGAAGGGATGGATGCTCTACGAGTTCCATGGCCACGGGGCCTTCTTTACGCATTTCCCCCACTGCCTCTTATTCCAGCAGCAATCCGCAAACTCATACACGAGCGGGCGGAAGTGCTCTTCGTGGCTCCGTATTGGCCGCAGAGGCCGTGGTTTGCCGACTTGGTGAATCTGGCTCAATCGCCCCCGTGGAAGATTCCTCATCATGTTCTGTCGCTACATCAAGGAAGCATCAACCATCCAGACCCGCAATGGCTGCAACTAGCCGTCTGGCGCTTGAGCGCCAAATAATGTCAGGTGAATCCTTTTCCTCACGAGCGATTGCCATTATCCAGGCGGCTCGCCGCCCGTCGACCAACCGCATCGACGACGCCACTTGGAAGAATTTTTGCCTCTGGTGTCGTCAGAAAAAATTTGACATTAATTCACTGACAATTCCCCAAATAGTTGATTATCTCCTGGATGGACTGGATAAAGGCCTTGCACCTGCAACGATCCGAAGGCAGGTGGCGGCCTTATCCACTCTTCTCTCTTGCGCAGATTCTATTCCCTTGGCTCACCATCCAAGAATCCGAGCCTTTATCAAGGGAGCTTGTAACACCAGTCCTCCTGTGGTCCACAGGTATCCATCCTGGGAGTTACCGCGAGTCCTTCGCGCTCTCACGCAGTGTCCCTTTGAACCACTGGCGACCGTTTCCTTAGAACACTTGTCACTCAAGGTGGCATTTTTGGTGGCCGTCACTTCGGCCAGGCGTATATCGGAGCTGGCCGCACTGTCGGTCAGGCCGGACTTATGTATCTTTCACAAGGACAGGGTTGTTTTACGACTCGATCCATCTTTCATCCCGAAAGTTAATACTCTCTTTCACAGGTCGCAGGAGGTGATTCTGCCAAATTTTAGCCCGAATCCGTCACATGACTTGGAGCGGCAGTGGCA